AAAACTATAATCTTTCAAATATATATAGATTTATATATATATACGTACATTATAATTTGTGTTTTTAAAAGTAGTCACCAGATATACACATATTCATATTTCCATGGACTAATATGTGAAAATAACATGGACTAAATTTAACATGGAATAATATGTGAATACAAATTATTCTAAAAGTATTTCATTTTTTTTTTTTCATTCTTTAAGAACCGCAAACTAATTTTCTTTAAGCAAAAATAAGTTTTTCACTAAGACTAAAAAGGTTGAATGTCCGCTAAGAAAATTAATAAAAGTTATTAAAAGAAATATCTTTACACGAAATTTAAAGCAAAAAAAAAAAAAAAAAAACATCTGAAAAAGATATGCATCTTTAAGATAAGGATGAGTAATTTATCTGACTTCCTTTGTATTCTCCCAGTAAAGAACGTTTAATGTAGCGTTTCAGCTAACTTTAGCCGATTTTCGGAAGTCTCAGATGCAAATCCCTTAAATAGGATTGGAAGCTGGAAAAATAAATGACACACGTTATTTATCTTTTTTTACTGAATTTTTATTTGCTAAATTTTTTAATGTTGAGATTATTTAAAATTTTGTTTTGTTATGGTTGGATTCTTTTTAATTCTGGGAGCAACCGATTGCATTAAGAAATATTTTTGATTATTATTTTCCTTTTTTTATTTTTCTTTTATTCTCTTGTGTGTCACATGAAGTTTTTGAAAAATGATCTTTTTTACTAGTCTGCAAATAGTTAGAAGTCATTTTTCATGCAAAAGAAAAAGAAAAAAAAAAAAAAAAAAAATTGTTTTCAAATAAAAAAGTGCGAAAATTTATGACGTGATAAAAATCATTGTATATTTGCAGAAATAAAAAATTAAATAAAGAGAAAATCTTATTATCCGTATGCGAGTGTAAATATTGTCTGTGTAATTTTATTAAATTTTTTTCCTTAACATAATATGGTGTATGTTTTCAAATTTATTTTAAATTTTTGTATAACTTAAAAAAAATATTTAAAAAATTTAAGGTAATTATATGCGTGTGAATACATCACCTGTTTTGAATATTTTAGATTATTACTTTTTTTGGCATAAATATGATATTTAATAAGAAATTTTCTTGTTTTTTCAAAGTAGACAAACTTTAAATTATAGATGATTTTCATAGAGAAGCTATTTTCATCACTGTCTGACAATCCAATTGGCCTTGAAATTACTGATATTTTATTTTTTCCGATAAAGACTCAAAACTTATAACATAATATATGCAGCTATATCGACTTTCTCTCTCTCTATATATATACGGATATATTGAATCTTGACTTAGTTCGATCCGTTATTTGTGAGTTCACATACGACATAAAATAGTGTGCAACAAACGTTTTGTTCAAGTGGCTCTCACCAAAAAACGAAAATGTTAAATAAACAAACATTACAAATTTTTAACACAGGCCCCAAGTTCCAAAGTGAACAATATATGAGAAAATTGAAACGCATGTGAGATATACACATATAAATGAAAAAGCAGTACTACATACGTATGTAAATATAATCTTTCAAATAGAAATATATATTTAATAATGTGTGTCCTAGATGTAGTCACCAGATATATACACATAATCATTTTCTCATGTATTCATGTATATATTTCAAATTTATACCTACATTATGTACCAACTAATAATTTAACAACTAATAATAAATTATAATCTATCTGTCTATCTATCTATCTATCTATCTATCTATCTATCTATATATATATATATATATATATTGACCTTGTTAGAATCATTACTTGTCTGTTTACCTAAGCAATAAAATAGTGTGTGATAAGCGTTTTGTCCAAGTGAGCCTCAGTTAAAAAACGAAAAAGTTAAATAAACAAGCTGTAGAAATTTTGAACAAATATCCCAAGTCTCATGTGATCAGTATATGATAAAATTGAAACTCATGTGAAAACACATATATGCAAAAGGAAAAACATTGTTATATATGTATTAATATCTAACATCTCAAATAAATATATAAATATATGTATGCACTTTATAATTTGTATTCTAAATGTAGTCAACAAATATATAAATATATTCACATTTTCACATATTTATATCTCAAATTTATACATACATTATGTACATACTAGTAATTAAACGTGGACTAAAATGGGAATACATAGTTCTCTAAAATTTGCTTAATTTTTTTTTTTTTTTACATTCTACATGAACCCCAAACAATTTCCGTTCAGCAAAAATAAGTTTTAGTCTAAGACTAGAAGGTCGAATGTCCGCTAAGAACATTAATAAAATTTATTAAAAGAAATATCTTTACACGAAAATTCATTGTGCAGGAAAAAAAAAAAATATTTGACAGATATTCATCTATAAGATAAAGTTGAGTAATTTATCTAACTTTCTTTGCATTCTCTCCCAGTAAAGAACGTTTAATGTAGCTTTTCAGCTAACTTTAGCCGATTTTCGGAAGTCTCAGATGCAAATCCCTTAAATAGATTGGAAGCTGGGAAATAAATAGCACACGTCATTTATCTTTTTTTTTTTTTTTTACTGAATTTTTTTTTGCTAAATTTTTAATGTTGAGATTATTTAAAATTTTGTTTTGTTATGGTTGGATTTTTAAATCTGGGAGCATCCAACTGCATTAAGAAATATTTTTTTTATTTCTTTTTCTTTTTTTTTTTTGCTCTTTGTCTTTTATTCTCTTGTGTGCCAAATGTACTTTTGAAAAATGATCTGTGCTACTAGTACCCAAATAGTTAGAAGTTTTTTATGCAAAAAGAAAATTCCTTGTTTGTTCAAAGTAAAAAATTTTTAAATTAAGGATGATTTCATAGAGCAGCTATTTTCATCACATGAGGAAAACCCATTTCACATTGGAATTACTGATGTTTTGTTTTTTCCGATAAAGACTCCAAACTTACTACATAATATCTGTATATATGTATACATACATAAATATATTGACTCTTTTTGACTTTGTTAGAACAATTATTTGTGTATTTACCTAAGAAATAAAATAGTTTGCGATAAGCGTTGGGTTCAAGTGAGTCTCACTACAAAACCAAAATGTTAAACAGACAAACCGGAAATATTTAACAAGGCTCCATGTCCCAAGTGAATAGTATATGATAAAGTTAAAATCTATGTAAGATATACATATATAAATGAAAAACACTACCATATACGTATTTAAATATAACATTCCAAATATATATATATGTGTGTGTGTGTATGTGTTTTATAATTTGTGTCTTATAAAAGTAGACACCAGATATATAAACACATTCATATTTTCATACATATAGATTCAAGAGAGCCATGTCAAAACAACCCAGCTTCAACCCGCCTTGGCATGGATTAATACCACCACTTAATACCAGTTAAATACCACTTCCACCTGATCACGTGCCTTCCACGTCATCCAGGCGAGTTCATTGCAAAATGTAGGGTGCTCATAATGTTTTGGCTCTTGAGTGTATATTTGAAATTTATACGTACATTATGTAGTTACTAATAATTTAACATGGACTAATTTGTGAATAGATAGTACTATCAAATTTGCTGCATTTTTTTTTTTCATTCTTTAAGAACCACTAACAAAATTTCTTTAAGCAAATATAAGTTTTACTCTAAGACTAGAAGTTCGAATGTCCGCTAAGAACATTAATAAAATTTATTAAAAGAAATATTTTTACACGAAAATTAAAGTAAGAAAAAATATCTGACAGATATGCATCTATAAGATAAGGATGAGTAATTTATCTAACTTCCTTTGTATTCTCCCAGTAAAGAACGTTTAATGTTGCGTTCAGCTAACTTTAGCCGATTTTCGGAAGTCTCAGATGCAAATCCCTTAAATAGGATTGGAAGCTGGGAAAATAAATGACACACGTTGTTTATCTTTTTTTTTTTGTTACTGAATTTTTATTTGCTAACTTTTTAATGTTGAGATTATTTAAAATTTTGTTTTGTTATGGTTGGTTTTTTTAATTCTGCGAGCAACCAACTGCATTAAAAATATTTTTTTATTATTCCTTTTTTTCCTTTTTTTTCTTTCTCTCTCTTTTATTCTCTTGTGTGTCACATGTATTTGTGAAAAATCATCTTTGTTACTAGTCAGCAAATAGTTAGGAGTCGTTTTTTTATGCTAAAAGGAAAACAAAAACAAAAAAAGTTTGTTTCTAAATAAAAATAGTGCTAAAATTTTTGACATGATAAATAATCATTGTTATTTGCGGAAATAAAAAAAAAAATAAAGAGAAAAACTTATTGCCCGTATGCGAATGCAAATATATTCTTCGCAATTTTATATATTTTTTTCTATAAGTTACTTAACATAATATGGTGTATGATTTAAAACTTATTTTAAATATTTGTATAAGTTAAAATAATATATTTAAAAAAAAAAATAACTTAATTGCTCGCTTGTGAATACATCAGCTGTCTTGGCTATTTTTGATTATTACTTTTTTTGGACATAAATATAATATTTAATAAGAAAATATCTTGTTTGTGCAACGAAGAAAACGTTAACATTATAGATGGTTTCACAGAGAACCTATTTCAATTTGACAATCATTTGACTTTTAATTTACTGATATCTTTTTTTCAAAACTTACTACATAATATCTATCTATATATATACAGATATATTAACTTTTGACTATGTTAGAACCATTTTTTTACCAAAGCAATAACCTGTTGTTGTTGTTTCTTATTCCACTTGGCTGGCCAATCCCACGAGCCCATACGTACTCATCATTGAAGGGAAGGAAGCAGCTTCTGTTGTGATGTAGCACCTGTAGGTAGAAGTCTGACTTTGGCTCCCTGACGCTCTTACAGTCATAGGAGACCGGAACCTACGGCTTAAAGTGGATTACGAACCACTACAAACATCCATGGCACCGCCGGGATTCGAACCGAAACCTGTGGCACCGAGTGACAGAGCGCTAGACACTCGGCCATTAATGTCCCAAATTTGTGAATGTCAACGGCCCACGGTGTTCCCAGGTGTCATCCACTCAATTACTGACCGCACCCATTGATGCTTGACTTCGGTGATCTAACGAGAACCGGTATATTCAGAATGGTATGGCCGTTGGCAAAAACATAGTGTGCGATAAGCTATTTGTTCAAATGAGTGAAAAAGTGAGTGAACCCAAAAAACGAAAAAGTTAAATAAATATAAAAACTGGGAATTTTGAGCAAAGAATTCAAGTCAAAAATGAACACTAAATGACAAAATTGAAACTCATGTGAAATAAACATATATAAAAAAAAACTTTACTATGTACGTATGTAAATATAACCTTTCATATATATATATATATATATATACATAAATATATTCTATATAAATATATAGCTCTAAATAATGAATATTTGACAAGAATGTTGATTGTATAAATCATTTTAAATTATATTTTTAAACGCTTTTTTGTTAAAATTTATTTGTTCTGATGTAATATTAAAATTGCTTCATCTGCAATACCATTTCAGTCCACTTCAGTTATCACTTAAAAATATAGTTAAAAATAGTTTCTTATTATTAACTATATTTTTAAGTGATAACTGAAATGGTATTTGTATTAAACACTGTATTAAATTTAAATAAGCTTTATCTAACAAATTTAAATTAAATAGTTATATATATATATATATATATATGTATGTATGTAAAGATATATATTATTTATTATATTTATTTATTTATTTATATTACCTTACAGAGTTTTATAAAAGATTAACTACGTTATTGCTACAATATGTTATCACAGACAAAATAATCTTATAATTGAAAAGATAAAGAACGATTGACTTTTTTTTTAATAGCTTGAATTCATAGAACATTTTTAAGGGTAATTATTTTCGTTTCAGTTAATTTTGTAAAAAATGAAATTTCAATATTGCTGTTTTTTATCAGCATGCGCTATCTTCTTTTTTTCTATTTTTAGCTTTCGATTATTGCAGTTTAATTTATTTTAATCGTCAGTGGTATAAACGCTAAACTAAGTTTACACATCATTAAATATAATGAGAGGGGAAAAAATTAACGATAAATTCGTTTTTTAAACTTTGTAAGTGATATAGCGCTAAAAGAAAAGAGTATAATTTTTTTTTTCTTCAGCTTTCGAATTTAATAGGTTATTATATTCTTAGTAAAAAAAATCAATTTCTTCCTTTACCTAATTTTTATGATTTTGTTTTTCAAATTGCAATAGACTTTATTTTACGCTAATTATTTAAAAAAAAAAATATTTAAAATATATATGATTCCAAAAAAAATTGTAATTGAAAGTTAAATTTAACGTAAATGATGACATTTAAACAAAATATTAATTTAATCAAAAGAAAGATTGTTTGATCGTTTTAAATAAATTAACTAAGTTTTTAAACAAATTAAGTAACTAAATTGTTTTTATTTCATTAGATGATATATATATTTATTTGATATTATATAATATGTACTTAGAAAAAATATTTGATTTTTAAAATTAATATTTGAACATAACAACTTGTGGCCGAATGGCTGAGTGTCTTGCGCACTTTGGCGCTCGGTGCATTGGATGTTTGTAGTGGTTCGAATCCACACTAACGCCGTAGGCCACGGTTTATATGACTGTAGAGGGTCTCAATGACAAGTCAGACTTCTCACCCACATCATTCTCAAACTGTATAGGGGCAACTCAACTTTAGATACCTTGATTTGGTGTGGTATAATGATAGTAGAACATAACAGTGTGGAATATATCACATTTGGTTTTCGAATGTTGTTAGAAAATCGACAAGCGAAACATAACCGCAAGTTCCTCTGCATATCAAGAATAAAATTTGTGGTGCAATGTGCGTTTGCAATATAGCAGGTTTCTAATGATGCAGCAATATGATACAGAGTATATATACTGCTCAAATTAATTAGGGGATGTTGTGAATTTTGTATGAAATCCCTTTTATAATAGACAACTTTTATAAAAAAGAGTTTAAAAGGAAAAAATTTATAACGATTTAACAAATTTTGTTTGGGTTGTCATTTCATGTAAGGAGTGGAAAGAACCTTGCACAATTCCTTGTGTAGAACGAGAATAACAACAATTGACAAATATTGAATGGTTTGTAACAGCGTCTACAATGCCTCAGCAAGGTGACTTAGCTGAATCGATAATTTAGAGGGCCATATATCGTTTAGAAGGGAGTCATACACAATCCGTTGTAGCGGAAGCGATATGAGTTTTTCAAAATGTCATCTTCTGAATGTGAAATCGGTATTTGGAAACTGGGAATGTTCATCGAGAATCGGAAGAAAGTCTTGCTAGTGTAGCAACACAAAATGAGGTTCAGTATTTAACTCTAAATGTAGGAAAATCAGCACTATGAAGGCCACTTTTTTGAAACATCACCTTCAGGGGAGCTACTGGTACCAGAGTTTCCACTCAAACTATTAGTAACCGACTCCATCTTGTGGGTTTGCATGCTTGCATACTTATGGTTTGTGATTGGTAGCCACACGCTATGTGCTGCCCGCAGAAGAAGGTCACGGGAGCATTTCAGATGGGGACTAGATGAGTGGAACAACATGAACTTCATGGGCGAATCCGCTACGGTATACAACCGGACAATAGGAAATTCTCATATCATTTCCAGTCTCACATTGATAGCATCATTGTTCCCATGCCTCATAAGATAACAATGCTTACGATCAGTGGAAAAAAACCACATATTCTTATCTGAAAGAACCTTGTACACGGAATACTCCTGCATTTGTGGGTGAACTTGTCCGATTTGGAGAAGAAGGAGTGATGGTCTATGTTAGTATTTCTATTAATGACTTCACCGCCTTTAATATTATCAGGAATAGAGCATCAGCAGCTCAGCGATGTAGAAATGAGATTATCATACAAATTGTAGCTTTTATATTGCAGCAATCAAAGATGTATTCATTGTCATGCTTGATAACGCCACATCATGCTGAGCTAGTGAAATATTTCTTATTCGACGAAAGAATCCTTCGAATGGATTTGTACAGTATATTCTCCAGACATGAGCTCAATGGAACATGCTTGTGACATTCTAAAGAGAAGAGTCGCTAGTCCCTAACTCCCAGTAGCAATTCAACAGCCGGGAAACTCTCTTCTACAGGTGTGTGAAAGAATTCCCAGTCTCGCACTGATAGCCTCATAGATTACATGCCTCATTAAGGTTACATTGCTTACGATCAGTGAAAATCATACCATTTATTAAAAAAACATTTGTATCCGAGATTGTATTGTTGATTGACAGTTGGAATTGATTCGAAATGGATTAATCAATCACGAATCAATTCAATCGAGATTTAATGAATCAATCGAGATTGATTGTTAATGTATTTTATTTGTTTCTATGATATACATGAGCTGCACATTTTTTTTGTTTCCAACAAACATCGCCAATATAATTGAATGATTCTTGTTAGCTGCTTCTTTTCGTTTTCCATATCTTACAACCCCTCTACCTCATATGTCAATCAACAGAACAGTTTCCCATCCGCAGTTTATACCAGAATTATTTGGTTGTCAAAATAAAAATAAATTAAAAATATTTTATCAAACCTTGTTTATGTTGATATTTGATCATTTGTAAATTCCCTTCGTAACATTAGAAAAACTTCACAGTGATACTATAAAACTTTCACACACATTTTATAAATCATTAATGCTTTCAAACTAAAATAAAAGCAACAAAATAACGCACATTTGCCGATACGCAACTGACAGAATACTCAACATGAGAACAGTGCGATACACAAGCGAATTATTTATGTATTCCCTTTTGAGGTTTAATTTTTTTCACTGTCCAGGAGAAGAGAGAGAAAAAAAGATTTAAATGAATAAAGAATTGGTTCTTTGTTTAGGTTACGAAAAATTCGCCGGGAATATAAACGGGGAATGAGCAAACTCAATTCATTCAAATTAAATGCATAACACAAGGGAATGGTAAATTCAAGTAAAAAGGAAGAACCACCTCCCAGTTCTTGTGTGCCTTTTAATCAAATAACTTTCCTTATTCATAAATTCCCATGCATTATACATCAGCACTGCTTGCAGAACTGCCTTTGTTATTCACCAACTACCATTTACAATGGAAATTATAATGCGCAGACATACTACTACAAAACAACAAGAAGAAAAAAGAAAAAAGGAAAAAAAGTAGCAAGATTTCCCAGGAACGAAACATAAACTTTCAAGCTTGCATCCAGTATTAAACGGAATAAAATGTTTCAAGAAACACAAGAAATGCTCTATAAATATGTAGGCCCGTCTTAAATATCCCCTCATGGAAATTTTGTTGATTATGTGAAAATTATACGTATTTCATGAATTCTATTTTCGCTTTAAAGCGTCCGTCTCAGTAAGTTTTTCCCTTAACAACAGGTGAAGCAAGCAAACCAGGTACGGTTGCAGTCATAAACCCACAGAGAGTCACGTCAGCAAAGAGACAGTAAAAAATGTTTAATGGTTTCCCGGGAGTGGAATATGCTTAAATACTTCAAACGAGAAGGAACTATGATATATTTGCAATGTTCTACTTTAAAGCGTAATCTTATAATATATTATATTTACTTCGTACTAATCAGAAAAAGAAATAAGGTAGATTTTCTTTTAAATTTTTGAAAATCTATATGCATATTGATTTTACAAGGAATACAATGTTCAGAAATTGTTAATAATTAACTATTTTCTTTTCATAAATAAAATAAATATCCTTAAAAATTTTTCACAAAAAATTTAAATTATTTTTATACAAAATCATTATGATGATTTACTTTCTAGAAAAAAAAAAAGAAGAAAAACGCAAACAATCAAAATTTTCTTGAAAATTACTAAAAATTTGAAGTTTTAAATTTAAGTTTCTATTTTATTACTAAATATTCATGGAGACGTAACAGTAATGTACACATAGATTTATTAAATATATACTTGATCATTACTCGATTTATTTTTAAAGTAACAGATGAAACAAATATTTTTAAAAAGTTAACCTGCACAATATAATAAATAAACTTATATATTAGTGTCAATTATGTGGTTGTCAAAATAAAAATAAATTCAAAATAATTAATCAAA